AGGCCTTTCCTGGCCCAACGACCCTAAGAAGGCCTTTCCTGGCCCAACGACCCTAAGAAGGCCGTTCCTGGCCCAACGACCCTAAGAAGGCCTTTCCTGGCCCAACGACCCTAAGAAGGCCTTTCCTGGCCCAACGACCCTAAGAAGGCCTTTCCTGGCCCAACGACCCTAAGAAGGCCTTTCCTGGCCCAACGACCCTAAGAAGGCCTTTCCTGGCCCAACGACCCTAAGAAGGCCTTTCCTGGCCCAACGACCCTAAGAAGGCCTTTCCTGGCCCAACGACCCTAAGAAGGCCTTTCCTGGCCCAACGACCCTAAGAAGGCCTTTCCTGGCCCAACGACCCTAAGAAGGCCTTTCCTGGCCCAACGACCCTAAGAAGGCCTTTCCTGGCCCAACGACCCTAAGAAGGCCTTTCCTGGCCCAACGACCCTAAGAAGGCCTTTCCTGGCCCAACGACCCTAAGAAGGCCTTTCCTGGCCCAACGACCCTAAGAAGGCCTTTCCTGGCCCAACGACCCTAAGAAGGCCTTTCCTGGCCCAACGACCCTAAGAGGGCCTTTCCTGGCCGAACGACCCTAAGAAGGCCTTTCCTGGCCCAACGACCCTAAGAAGGCCTTTCCTGGCCCAACGACCCTAAGAAGGCCTTTCCTGGCCCAACGACCCTAAGAAGGCCTTTCCTGGCCCAACGACCCTAAGAAGGCCTTTCCTGGCCCAACGACCCTAAGAAGGCCTTTCCTGGCCCAACGACCCTAAGAAGGCCTTTCCTGGCCCAACGACCCTAAGAAGGCCTTTCCTGGCCCAACGACCCTAAGAAGGCCTTTCCTGGCCCAACGACCCTAAGAAGGCCTTTCCTGGCCCAACGACCCTAAGAAGGCCTTTCCTGGCCCAACGACCCTAAGAAGGCCTTTCCTGGCCCAACGACCCTAAGAAGGCCGTTCCTGGCCCAACGACCCTAAGAAGGCCTTTCCTGGCCCAACGACCCTAAGAAGGCCTTTCCTGGCCCAACGACCCTAAGAAGGCCTTTCCTGGCCCAACGACCCTAAGAAGGCCTTTCCTGGCCCAACGACCCTAAGAAGGCCTTTCCTGGCCCAACGACCCTAAGAAGGCCTTTCCTGGCCCAACGACCCTAAGAAGGCCTTTCCTGGCCCAACGACCCTAAGAAGGCCTTTCCTGGCCCAACGACCCTAAGAGGGCCTTTCCTGGCCGAACGACCCTAAGAAGGCCTTTCCTGGCCCAACGACCCTAAGAAGGCCTTTCCTGGCCCAACGACCCTAAGAAGGCCTTTCCTGGCCCAACGACCCTAAGAAGGCCTTTCCTGGCCCAACGACCCTAAGAAGGCCTTTCCTGGCCCAACGACCCTAAGAAGGCCTTTCCTGGCCCAACGACCCTAAGAAGGCCTTTCCTGGCCCAACGACCCTAAGAAGGCCTTTCCTAGCCCAACGACCCTAAGAAGGCCTTTCCTGGCCCAACGACCCTAAGAGGGCCTTTCCTGGCCGAACGACCCTAAGAAGGCCTTTCCTGGCCCAACGACCCTAAGAAGGCCTTTCCTGGCCCAACGACCCTAAGAAGGCCTTTCCTGGCCCAACGACCCTAAGAAGGCCTTTCCTGGCCCAACGACCCTAAGAAGGCCTTTCCTGGCCCAACGACCCTAAGAGGGCCTTTCCTGGCCGAACGACCCTAAGAAGGCCTTTCCTGGCCCAACGACCCTAAGAAGGCCTTTCCTGGCCCAACGACCCTAAGAAGGCCTTTCCTGGCCCAACGACCCTAAGAAGGCCTTTCCTGGCCCAACGACCCTAAGAAGGCCTTTCCTGGCCCAACGACCCTAAGAAGGCCTTTCCTGGCCCAACGACCCTAAGAAGGCCTTTCCTGGCCCAACGACCCTAAGAAGGCCTTTCCTGGCCCAACGACCCTAAGAAGGCCTTTCCTGGCCCAACGACCCTAAGAAGGCCTTTCCTGGCCCAACGACCCTAAGAAGGCCTTTCCTGGCCCAACGACCCTAAGAAGGCCTTTCCTGGCCCAACGACCCTAAGAAGGCCTTTCCTGGCCCAACGACCCTAAGAAGGCCTTTCCTGGCCCAACGACCCTAAGAAGGCCTTTCCTGGCCCAACGACCCTAAGAAGGCCTTTCCTGGCCCAACGACCCTAAGAAGGCCTTTCCTGGCCCAACGACCCTAAGAAGGCCTTTCCTGGCCCAACGACCCTAAGAAGGCCTTTCCTGGCCCAACGACCCTAAGAGGGCCTTTCCTGGCCGAACGACCCTAAGAAGGCCTTTCCTGGCCCAACGACCCTAAGAAGGCCTTTCCTGGCCCAACGACCCTAAGAAGGCCTTTCCTGGCCCAACGACCCTAAGAAGGCCTTTCCTGGCCCAACGACCCTAAGAAGGCCTTTCCTGGCCCAACGACCCTAAGAAGGCCTTTCCTGGCCCAACGACCCTAAGAAGGCCTTTCCTGGCCCAACGACCCTAAGAAGGCCTTTCCTGGCCCAACGACCCTAAGAAGGCCTTTCCTGGCCCAACGACCCTAAGAAGGCCTTTCCTGGCCCAACGACCCTAAGAAGGCCTTTCCTGGCCCAACGACCCTAAGAAGGCCTTTCCTGGCCCAACGACCCTAAGAGGGCCTTTCCTGGCCGAACGACCCTAAGAAGGCCTTTCCTGGCCGAACGACCCTAAGAAGGCCTTTCCTGGCCCAACGACCCTAAGAAGGCCTTTCCTGGCCCAACGACCCTAAGAAGGCCTTTCCTGGCCCAACGACCCTAAGAAGGCCTTTCCTGGCCCAACGACCCTAATAAGGCCTTTCCTGGCCCAACGACCCTAAGAAGGCCTTTCCTGGCCCAACGACCCTAAGAAGGCCTTTCCTGGCCCAACGACCCTAAGAAGGCCTTTCCTGGCCCAACGACCCTAAGAAGGCCTTTCCTGGCCGAACGACCCTAAGAGGGCCTTTCCTGGCCGAACGACCCAAAGAAGGCCTTTCCTGGCCCAACGACCCTAAGAAGGCCTTTCCTGGCCCAACGACCCTAAGAAGGCCTTTCCTGGCCCAACGACCCTAAGAAGGCCTTTCCTGGCCCAACGACCCTAAGAGGGCCTTTCCTGGCCCAACGACCCTAAGAAGGCCTTTCCTGGCCCAACGACCCTAAGAAGGCCTTTCCTGGCCCAACGACCCTAAGAAGGCCTTTCCTGGCCCAACGACCCTAAGAAGGCCTTTCCTGGCCCAACGACCCTAAGAAGGCCTTTCCTGGCCCAACGACCCTAAGAAGGCCTTTCCTGGCCCAACGACCCTAAGAAGGCCTTTCCTGGCCCAACGACCCTAAGAAGGCCTTTCCTGGCCCAACGACCCTAAGAAGGCCTTTCCTGGCCCAACGACCCTAAGAAGGCCTTTCCTGGCCCAACGACCCTAAGAAGGCCTTTCCTGGCCGAACGACCCTAAGAAGGCCTTTCCTGGCCCAACGACCCTAAGAAGGCCTTTCCTGGCCCAACGACCCTAAGAAGGCCTTTCCTGGCCCAACGACCCTAAGAAGGCCTTTCCTGGCCCAACGACCCTAAGAAGGCCTTTCCTGGCCCAACGACCCTAAGAAGGCCTTTCCTGGCCCAACGACCCTAAGAAGGCCTTTCCTGGCCCAACGACCCTAAGAAGGCCTTTCCTGGCCCAACGACCCTAAGAAGGCCTTTCCTGGCCCAACGACCCTAAGAAGGCCTTTCCTGGCCCAACGACCCTAAGAGGGCCTTTCCTGGCCGAACGACCCTAAGAAGGCCTTTCCTGGCCCAACGACCCTAAGAAGGCCTTTCCTGGCCCAACGACCCTAAGAAGGCCTTTCCTGGCCCAACGACCCTAAGAAGGCCTTTCCTGGCCCAACGACCCTAAGAAGGCCTTTCCTGGCCCAACGACCCTAAGAAGGCCTTTCCTGGCCCAACGACCCTAAGAAGGCCTTTCCTGGCCCAACGACCCTAAGAAGGCCTTTCCTGGCCCAACGACCCTAAGAAGGCCTTTCCTGGCCCAACGACCCTAAGAAGGCCTTTCCTGGCCCAACGACCCTAAGAAGGCCTTTCCTGGCCCAACGACCCTAAGAAGGCCTTTCCTGGCCCAACGATCCTAAGAAGGCCTTTCCTGGCCCAACGACCCTAAGAAGGCCTTTCCTGGCCCAACGACCCTAAGAAGGCCTTTCTTGGCCCAACGACCCTAAGAAGGCCTTTCCTGGCCCAACGACCCTAAGAAGGCCTTTCCTGGCCCAACGACCCTAAGAGGGCCTTTCCTGGCCGAACGACCCTAAGAAGGCCTTTCCTGGCCCAACGACCCTAAGAAGGCCTTTCCTGGCCCAACGACCCTAAGAAGGCCTTTCCTGGCCCAACGACCCTAAGAAGGCCTTTCCTGGCCCAACGACCCTAAGAAGGCCTTTCCTGGCCCAACGACCCTAAGAAGGCCTTTCCTGGCCCAACGACCCTAAGAAGGCCTTTCCTGGCCCAACGACCCTAAGAAGGCCTTTCCTGGCCCAACGACCCTAAGAAGGCCTTTCCTGGCCCAACGACCCTAAGAAGGCCTTTCCTGGCCCAACGACCCTAAGAAGGCCTTTCCTGGCCCAACGACCCTAAGAGGGCCTTTCCTGGCCCAACGACCCTAAGAGGGCCTTTCCTGGCCGAACGACCCTAAGAAGGCCTTTCCTGGCCCAACGACCCTAAGAAGGCCTTTCCTGGCCCAACGACCCTAAGAAGGCCTTTCATGGCCCAACGACCCTAAGAAGGCCTTTCCTGGCCCAACGACCCTAAGAAGGCCTTTCCTGGCCCAACGACCCTAAGAAGGCCTTTCCTGGCCCAACGACCCTAAGAAGGCCTTTCCTGGCCCAACGACCCTAAGAAGGCCTTTCCTGGCCCAACGACCCTAAGAAGGCCTTTCCTGGCCCAACGACCCTAAGAAGGCCTTTCCTGGCCCAACGACCCTAAGAAGGCCTTTCCTGGCCCAACGAATTCTCAAAAGTCGATGATGGCAAAAGGGACAGGGAGCATGAGTGCAACCTATTCCAGCAATGTTCTGGCCAAATGTGATGCACCGACAGCCGCGAGGGAGGGGTGGGATGGAAGACACTCGAGGCAGTGAGAGAAGGGTGGAAGGGGCGAAAGAGGGACGACGAGAAGGCAAGAAGGAGAGAAGGGGCGAAAGAGTGAAGACGAGAAGGCAAGAAGGAGAGAAGGGGCGAAAGAGTGAAGACGAGAAGGCAAGAAGGAGAGAAAGGGCGAAAGAGTGAAGACGAGAAGGCAAGAAGGAGAGAAGGGGCGAAAGAGTGAAGACGAGAAGGCAAGAAGGAGAGAAGGGGTGAAAGAATGAAGACGAGAGGGCAAGAAGGAGAGAAGGGGGGAAAGAGTGAAGACGAGAAGGCAAGAAGGAGAGAAGGGGCGAAAGAGTGAAGACGAGAAGGTAAGAAGGAAAGAAGGGGCGAAAGAATGAAGACGAGAAGGCAAGAAGGAGAGAAGGGGCGAAAGAGTGAAGACGAGAAGGCAAGAAGGAGAGAAGGGGTGGCATGGGTGAGAATTCGTGATGTGCTTCACTGATTGACTCCACAGATCACAGATCACAGACTGACTGCAGCCTGCTGCCATATTCTGCCCGAGTGAGATGCATAGGCAGTTGCCAGGGTGGTGTGTGGGATGGGAGACACGAGGTGGTGAAGGAAGGGCATAACAGGATATACGAAGAGCATTCACTCACATATGGACTTTTGAGTCGACTCAAAAGTCACGAGGTGGTGAAGGAAGGGCATAACAGGATATACGAAGAGCATTCACTCACATATGGAATTTTGAGTCGACTCAAAAGTCACGAGGTGGTGAAGGAAGGGCATAACAGGATATACGAAGAGCATTCACTCACATATGGACTTTTGAGTCGACTCAAAAGTCACGAGGTGGTGAAGGAAGGGCATAACAGGATATACGAAGAGCATTCACTCACATGTGGACTTTTGAGTCGACTCAAAAGTCACGAGGTGGTGAAGGAAGGGCATAACAGGATATACGAAGAGCATTCACTCACATGTGGACTTTTGAGTCGACTCAAAAGTCACGAGGTGGTGAAGGAAGGGCGTAACAGGATATACGAAGAGCATTCACTCACATGTGGACTTTTGAGTCGACTCAAAAGTCACGAGGTGGTGAAGGAAGGGCATAACAGGATATACGAAGAGCATTCACTCACATATGGACTTTTGAGTCGACTCAAAAGTCACGAGGTGGTGAAGGAAGGGCGTAACAGGATATACGAAGAGCATTCACTCACATGTGGACTTTTGAGTCGACTCAAAAGTCACGAGGTGGTGAAGGAAGGGCATGACAGGATATACGAAGAGCATTCACTCACATATGGACTTTTGAGTCGACTCAAAAGTCACGAGGTGGTGAAGGAAGGGCATAACAGGATATACGAAGAGCATTCACTCACATATGGACTTTTGAGTCGACTCAAAAGTCACGAGGTGGTGAAGGAAGGGCATAACAGGATATACGAAGAGCATTCACTCACATATGGACTTTTGAGTCGACTCAAAAGTCACGAGGTGGTGAAGGAAGGGCATAACAGGATATACGAAGAGCATTCACTCACATATGGACTTTTGAGTCGACTCAAAAGTCACGAGGTGGTGATGGAAGGGCATAACAGGCCGGTACTCACCAGGCACTCACCAGGCCGGTACCTCCACCCCCCTTCTCTGCACTCACCAGACAGTTTTGAGAATTATCAAAAGTGATTTCAATATAGCCGGGTACCTCCACCCCCCTGTAAGAGAGTCCGCACTCACCAGACAGTTTGTTTCGCGTCGGAAGTGTTATCATTGCAGTCAGAGAGATGTGCATTTTGGCGCACCAGTGATGGCAGCCCAGCGAGAAATGAGGGCACCTCCATCCCCTCTTCACTCACCAGGGCACTTGCGCTCCATGCCTCTTATGTTTTTTGAGAATTCTCAAAAAACAATCACCAGGGCACTTGGTGACTTTTGAGTCGACTCAAAAGTCACCTCTTCACTCACCAGCGCACTTGCGCTCCATGCCTCTCTCTCCCCCCCCACAGAGGGCACACAACGAGCTCACCAGACAGCCTGAATGGAGGAGTCGTCAAAGCAATCACCAGAGCCCCACCCCCCGTTTGCCTCCCCCCCCTCCCTCCCCCCTTCACAAAGCATACAGAGAGAACTCACCAGACAGCCTGGGTCGCAACGGACGAGTCATCAAAGCAGTCGCACAGCTCCCCTTCCCACATGCGCTCCACCCACCAGGCCACGTGTATCCTTTCCCCTTTGCACTCACCAGGCCAAGTAAGTACCTCCATGATCCATACCCCCTGAGAGAGGAGTCACTCACCAGACGGTCTGAGTGGCGACAGAAGAGTCATCAAAGCAGTCACACAGCTCCCCTTCCCACATGCGCTCCACGCCCCCCCCTCCTCCCCTCTCAAACCCCACCTCTCCACCAATTCCCGCTCCTAATTCTCCATCAAAATCCACCGCACAGATCCCAAACCCGTAATCCAGACCGTCCAATTCTGCCCCCTCCCGCACGCCCGGCCGTATCCCCTCCTCAAGCCCCCCTGTACCCGTTATAGAGATCCCTGCGCCTGTTCCACTCCCTTGCTCCCCTCCTACATCCCTCACAACCACTGCTTCATCCATTAAAGGGCCTGCACCCACCACTGTCCGCTTAATGGCTCCTAACCGCTCCCTACCGCCCTCCACCGCTCTCAGTCTACAGCCTGCTGGCATGCCGCTGCCCCTGTCTCGAGAAGAGGGGAAATCTTGTAACTCGTTCGCATGCTCTTCGCCCTCCCAGCTATCCCTGCTCGCATCGCTGTGACGAACCCACTCTGAAAACGTCACACGACGGCCGCTGCTGCTGCTGCTGCCACCACCGCTGCTGCTGGCGCTGCTGCTGCTGCTGGTGCTGGTGCTTCTGGTGCTGCCTCGTGCAGCTTCTGCTGCGGCTGATGCCGCATCTTCCGTTGCTGAAGCATCCAGAGGGAGGGAGTGAGAGCGAGCTGGGCTGGGGGTGGATTGAGAGAGAGAGGAGGGGTCCTCCTCGGGTATTGGTTGCAGGAAGTGCGTGTGAGAGTGAGGGTGCGAGTGAGGGTTGTAGTGTGAGTGAGTGTTAGAGTGTGAGGGAGGGTTAGAATGTGAAGGAGGGTTGGAGTGTGGGGGGGGGTGAGAGTGTGAAGGAGGGTTAGATTGTGAGGGAGGGTTCGGGTGTGAGGGAGGGAGGGATGGAGGAGGAGTGGGTTGACTGGGTGAGAAGGCTAATAGGTTGGATCTGCCGAGCACCTGGGCGTGGCCTGGGAGCCTCGGAATTGGCTGTTGGCGATTCTGCAGATTCTCTGCTGACGTGGATGAGGAGGAGGAGGAGGAGGAGGAGGAGGAGGAGGAGGAGGAGGAGGAGGAGGAGGAGGAGGAGGAGGAGGAGGAGGAGGAGGAGGAGGAGGAGGAAGGGGAGGGGGACGAAGAGGAACCTTCCATGCGGCTTCTGCTAGAGTCAGATCGGCTTCTGCACAAAACTTATCAATATCCGCGAAACTTCGTGAAATCGGCTGACAGCCGCGAAACTTCGCGAAATCGGTTGACACTCGCGAAAGTTCGCAAAAGGTCGCCCACCCGCTCCGATAGAAGCTTCAACTGATTAGCAGTGAGTGCTTCTCGTGCTCAAAGAATGAGCTGTACCACCCTTGTCGCATTATGGATGTTGCTCGGCGAGTTCGCGAATTGAGGCGAGGAGTTACGCGCGTGACGCGACGAACGGCTTGCGGCAGCGCGAGGCGACTGAAGCTGAATCGGCTGCGACGAACTGAAAGGAGCGAAACAAATGCCCGGCGTCGGAGGGCACTCACGGGACGGGAATGCGAAACTAGCGTCCGTCCGTGCTCACAGGAAGAAGCTAGAACAGGTTGGTCTGATTAGTGAAGCTTTCGGGCGTTGGATGCACTCGGTGGTTCAAATCGGGGACTTCGGGACTGGGGTAATTCCTACCCTAGGTGTCAGACGCAGAGCGAGATACGGAAAACGCATCCCGACCTGCGAAACTCAGGGTGGTTACCAGCATCGCACGGGATTTTTTACTGTCCGCGTTATGAATTGTTACGAGTACAATTAAAGGAAAGTATATTCCAGCTCCTTAGGTTTGGTCACAAGTTTACTCAGAAAGTGTGACTTTATGAATTATTGTTCACGCAACACCCAGATTACTTTCAAAACTGGTCCTGTCTGGCAAACTTTTCGACACGTTAACTATCTGAGCACTTCCTCTCCAGAACCTTGTAGTGGGGCAGAGTAAAGAGGGGTTTTCGAGAAAGTGACGCCATCCCCAATTTCAACTCAGTTCTTGGAAGTAGCGCGGCATTAGTAGCCTTCCAAGAAGTAGCATTTTGTGGTCCTAACCTAACCAGACGCGCGATGTCGAAGTTCCTATCTTGACGTATTTGGTAGCCGCATCTGACTCATCACGGAACAAGGCGGTTCGTCGAGGAGCGATCGTCGTTGATTTAGTCTCCTTCATGTGTTAGATGCATGCGTTGACTTTTCAAGTCGACTCAATGTCAACGCGTACGTGACTCTGGCGTTTTCGCACGCTCTCCGATGCACGTGCAGACTCCAACAGTTTGACACTCACAGGCAGTGTGTGAGATTGTCGAATCCCTTAAGATGGCTCGGATCGGACAGACTGGCGCAAATGTGCAAGTGATTCGTTATCTTATCAATACTACTGCTGCCGAAAGCCCACCTCAGGATCAGCACCAAAGATCAGCATCTGCTTTTGAGTCGGCTTGGAGCACCCGTGACCAGCCTCGGTATTGCCGAAAGCCAACCTGATGGACTCTAGAAGAGCACCCGTGATCAGCATCATGGAGCGCCGCGCATTGCCTCTCCTCTGCCGCCTGTTGCTCTGTAAGCTCTGGTATTCCCGAGGGGGGCTTTTTAGTCGATTTAAAAGTCAGCATCATGGAGCGCCGCGCGTTACCTCTCCTCTGCCGCCTGTTGCTCTGTAAGCCCTGGGATTCCCGAGGGGGCTCGCCTGTTGCTCTGTAAGCCCTGGGATTCCCGAGGGCGCTGCTGCTGGCAGCAGGCGCATAGGCCTCAGAACCTCACTGACTGTGCTGTCGTCTACGATTTTGGTCACAAGACTTGGAGTAGCGTGTCGTTTTCGAGTCTGACATTTTCGAGCCTGTCAGTTTAGAGTCGAGGTGACTTTTGAGTCGACTCAAAAGTCACAAGACTTGGAGTAGCCTGTCGTTTTCGAGCCTGTCATTTTAGAGTCGTGCCTCATCATGTCCCAACCCAATCCGCCTGCCTGTCTGCCTGCAGGTGCGACTCTCTGCACTGCCTACGGCGCGTCGGCCGCATCATTGCTCGCGCCGATCCTCTCTCACCATGGCGGCTCTTCTGCTGTTGCTTCTGCCGCTTCTGCTGTGGTCAATCCTTCTGCCACTTCTGCTGCGGTCAATCCTTCTGCCGCTTCTGCTGCGGTCAATCCTTCTGCCGCTTCTGCTGCGGTCAATCCTTCTGCCGCTTCTGCTGCGGTCAATCCTTTTGCCGCTTCTGCTGCGGTCAATCCTTCTGCCGCTTCTTCCACTGTTAATCCTTCCGGTTCGGTGGTGCACGGGAGATTAATCTGTAAGTCTCGTCGCCATCAGCAGTGGAGACTCTTAACTGATTACTTTCTTGCCACAGTTCTTTAAGCGTGGCTGTCATTCAACAAAAGTGGTTGTTATCAACAGACGTGGCTGTTATTTAACACAAGTGGCTGTTACTCAACACATTTGGCTGTTAGTCAACACACGTGGCTGTTATTCAACACACGTGGCTGTTACTCAACACACGTGGCTGTTATTCAACACACGTGGCTGTTATTCAAACACACGTGGTTCCTGCAGTCAATGTCTGTGCTATTTATTAGAATGTGGTATAGCTGACATGATTGCTACAGCTGAAGTGTGTTTTACAGCTAGTATGTGCTGCAACTGAAATGGCTGCTGCAACCAATGTGTGTGCTACAGCTGACATGTGCTATAGCCCATGTGTGTGCTACTGCTGAAATGTGCTATAACTCATGTGTGTGCTACTGCTGTCATGTGCTATAGCTGCCATGTGTGCTACTGCTGACATGTGCTATAGCCCATGTGTGTGCCACTGATGACATGTCCTATAGCTCATGTGTGTGCTACAGTTGAAGTGTGTGGTGCTACAGCTAGTGTGTGGTGCAACTGAAGTGTGTGGTGCAACTGAAGTGTGTGGTGCAACTGAAGTGTGTGGTGCAACTGAAGTGTGTGGTGCAACTGAAGTGTGTGGTGCAACTGAAGTGTGTGGTGCAACTGAAATGGTTGCTACAGCGGATGCGTGTGTGTGTTACTGCTGGTTGTGAATCACCAGCTACCAACGTTTCCACTTTCCCGGTCCCGCCCATTCTCGTTTCCAGTGAAGTGGGTGGCCCATCTGCGTCCTGCCAAGTTCAACGGGAAAGTGGTTGGCGACAGAGGAGCATCGGGGAAAGTGAAGTTGAAGGTGGTCGAGTATGTATGCCTCTCTCTGTCCCCTCATTCACATGTTCCTGGTGTGTGTTGAGTTGACTCAAAACACAACCTGAAAGTAGTCGGGGCGCCACAGGAGAGGAGCATCGGGGAAAGTCAAGTCGAAGGTGGTGGAGTGCGTATGCCTCTGTCTGTCCCCTCATTCACTTGTTCCTGGTGTGTTTTGTTTGAGTCGACTTAAAACACAACCTAAAAGTAGTCGGGGCGGCAGAGGGGAGGAGCATTGAAAGTCAAGTTGAAGGTGGTAGAGTACGTATGCCTCTGTCTGTCCCCTCATTCACTTGTTTTATTGATGCTGGACCAATTTCTATGTGTTGAAACGGGTCTTATGGAGTCAACTTCTAGGGCGCCTCAGAGGAGCATGGGGGAAAGTCAAGCTGAAGGTAGTGGGAGTACGTATGGCTCTGTCCCCTCATCCACTTGTTCCATTGGCTCTGAAACGAGTCTTATGTGCTGAAACTGGTCTTATGGAGTCAACTTTTGGGGTGCCTCAGAGGAGCATCGGGGAAAGTCAAGTTGAAGGTGGTGCAGTACGTATGCCTCTGTCTGTACCCTCATCCACTTTTTCCGTTGGTGCTGAAACGAGTGTTACGGAGTCACAATGCTTGTTTCACTGGTGCTGAAACAAGTCCTATGGAGTCACAGTGACTTTTGCGAGTCTTGTGTGTTGGAGCCCACTCCATGCTTTGAGACGCTTGGAGCCCACAGATTGTATGACATACAACCACTGTGTGCTGCGGCGAGTCTTGAAGTATTTTCTCTCTGGATGTACGGCACTGCTTTCGACTCGACTCAAATGTCACCGCATGCTTTGAGACGTTTGGGCAGACAGTCATCCACTGTGTGCTCCTGCTAAGTCTTCGCCAAGTGTTTGCTTTGGATGCACGGCACCGCTTTCTGAGGGATTCACCTTTCTGAGGGATTCACCTTTCTGAGGGATTCACCTTTCTGAGGGGCCGTCTTTGCCGTGCAACGATAAAGTACTCTCTGACGCTAACGTATCTTCCGTTGGCCCTCTATTGCCCCGCTGGCAGGTTCTCAGATTCGGCGTACAAGCTGAGCTACGATTACCACATTTTCAACCTCAGGGGAGGAGATGCTCTCAAGTTGGATGACCTTTAAGTCGACTCAAAAGTCAGCTCCTTACCGTATCGTCTGTTGCCCCTCTATTGCCCTTATATTGCCCCCATTGGCAGGCTCTCACTGTCACTCTACAAGCTGAGCTACGATTACCACAATTTCAGCCTCAGGGGAGGAGAGGAGGTGCTTCCAACCCAAGTCGACTTCTCAGTCGACTCAACAGCAATCATATCTTCCATTGCCCCACTATCGCCGCGTTGGTGGCAGGCTCACACCATCGCTCTACAAGCTGAGCTATGATTACAAAATCTTCAGCCTCAGGGGAGGAGAGGAGGTGCTCCCAACCCGAGTTGACTTTTCAGTCGACTCAACAGCAATCATATCTTCCATTGCCCCTCTATTGCCCCGTTGGTGGCAGGCTCACACCATCGCTCTACAAGCTGAGCTATGACTACCACATTTGAGGCGCCTCAAAAGTCGTGCAATGATGGCACTACTCTCTGACGCTTACCGTATCTTCCATTGGCCCTTCTATTGCCCCTCTGTTGCCTCTCTGTTGCCCCTCTGTTGCCTCTCTGTTGCCTCTCTGTTGCCCCTCTGTTGCCCCTCTGTTGCCCCTCTGTTGCCCCTCTGTTGCCCCTCTGTTGCCTCTCTGTTGCCCCTCTGTTGCCTCTCTGTTGCCCCTCTGTTGCCTCTCTGTTGCCTCTCTGTTGCCCCTCTGTTGCCTCTCTGTTGCCTCTCTGTTGCCCCTCTGTTGCCCCTCTGTTGCCCCTCTGTTGCCCCTCTGTTGCCCCTCTGTTGCCTCTCTGTTGCCCTGGCGGCAGGCTCACACCGTCACTTTACAAGCTGAGCTACGATTACAAGATTTTTAGCCTCAGGGGAGGCGATGCTCCCAAGTTGGGCTACCTGGATTCCTGCTTCGCCGACGGTATTCTCGCGCCCGCCGTTATGGTAAACATCACAAAACCCAAGACCCGCCGCAGGCGTTACAGCTTCACAAGCCATGGGGAGCTACAGGCCAACTCGGAGAGTACTGCTCGCAAGTCGATAGAGTCTTTTACGCAGTCAGGAGCGTTTGCGGTTGTGGGACGCGAAGGTAACAAGGTTGCTCTCTGTGGGAAGCTTAAGAAAAAGGTGAATTAAGAAGCATTTGGGTGCACGCGGTTAGTGTCATGTCATGCAATGTTTTTATTGTTGAAGAGTGGACGTGGGCCTGGATAGGTACAGTAACATTTGAATTCAGCATTGTTCAAGAACGGAAGTACGGCGGTAATACCCGCTCCTTCAAAACAGAAAGATAATAAAAGCGGCTTTTAAGACATCTCAATATGGCACCCACGGGGCTCTGGTCTGGTCTACTCAGGATGCTCTACTGTTCAAAGACATCATCTCAGGATCTTTCCGATGAAGCTCGCATTCTCCCCGCCAAAGTTGTTGCCCAGGTGGCATTTAGACATACCATCAATAAGGCACTGTCAGGGCTCAGGTCTATTCAGGACGCTCTACTATTTTCCTCAGAATCTTGCCAGTGAAGAGGCACGAGTCGTGATATAAGGGAGTTCTTGAGACTTCTCGGGACGCTCCGCTACCGGTACTCTGCGTAGAATCTTGCCAATGAAGCTCGCACTCTCCCCCACAATGTTGTTGCCTAAGCGGATGTAAAACATCTCCATACTGCACCCATCGGGTTTTGCTCTACTCAGGACGCTCCACTATTCTGCACAGAATCTTGCCGATGAAGAGCCACGTGACTTGATATACGTGAGTTTTTGAGACGTCTCAAAAAGCTCTGGTCTACTCAGGACGCTCCACTATTCTGCGCAGGATCTTGCCGATGAAGCTCGCACTCTCCCCGCCAAAGTTGTTCCCAAGATCAATCTTCTGCTTGCCGCCCGCCTTGGCCTGCTGCGCGTTGCGCATGTCCCTCAGCTCTGAGCGAAGCACCTGGTAGGAGGCACAGGGCAACAAATAAGGGCCGTGCAAGGGGAAAACAAGGGGGGGCTTCAGTAACTGTACAGCAGGGTGTAACCTGAGCTCACCTCTGAGCTCAGGGTGTAACCTGAGCTCTGAGCTCTCACCTCTGAGCTCTCACCTCTGAGCTTTGAGCTCCTTGCACTGCCATGTGTGGGTGCGAGAGCAAGGGGGGAACAGAGAGTTTCAGTTCACAAGCTATGTTCGCAGAAGTATGTGCCTCTCGTTGCTCCTCAAAGGAACAGCAGGTGAGGGAGTATGATAGAGGGAGAGGGGGAGAGGGGGAGAGGGTGAGAGAGTGAGAGAGTGAGAGAGAAGGAGAGAGGAGAGAGCGGGTGAGAGAGGGCACTCACAAAGTCTGTTCGCAGCAGAATGCGCCTCTCACTGCTCCTCAGGGCAGCAGCAGCCATCACGCGCACCCTCTGCTCGCCATCGTCCTCCAGATAGTCGTCACTGTTGCCCTCCAGTAGGGCCTCATCCTCCTGTGAAGGGAGAAGGGGGAGGGTGGGGAAATGAGTGGAAGAGGGAGTGAGGAAGCAGCAGCAGCAGCCATCACGCGCACCCTCTGCTCGCCATCGTCCTCCAGATAGTCGTCACTGTTGCCCTCCAGTAGGGCCTCATCCTCCTGTGAAGGGAGAAGGGGGAAGGGTGGGGAAATGAGTGGAAGAGGGAGTGAGGAAGCAGCAGCAGCAGCCATCACGCGCACCCGCTGCTCGCCATCATCTTCCAAGTAATCATCGCTGTTGCCCTCCAGAAGGGCCTCGTCCTCCTGTGGTACAGGATATGGGAGAAGGTAGGCAAGGGAGGGTATCAGAAGGCAGGGGGGCTAGCGAACATTCATTCACCGTCTTCTCGCCATCGTCCTCCGGGTTATCGTCGCTGTTGCCCTCCAGCAAGGCTTCGTCCTCCTGGAGAAAGGGATGGGTGGAAGAGAGAAACCAGGGGGGTTCAAGCAGCAGGGGTGTTGGCGCATGTGCACGCACTCACTGCTCCCCGTCATCCTCCAGGTAGTCATCGCTGTTGCCCTCCAGCAGAGCTTCATGCTACTGTAGAGCAGCAGATGGGAGGCAGGCAGATGGGGTTGAATGAGAGGAGTAGCAGCAGCAGCAGCAGCCATCATCCGCACTCTCTGCACGCCATCATTTTCCGGGTTCTCATCGCTGTTGCCCTCCAGTAGTGCGTCATCCAGCAACAGGCAGCGAGAATGATCTCCCTGGCCTCCTTACGCACTCCCATACTCCGCACAACCGTACTCGTTACCATCATACTCGTTGCAAGCACATGTAAACATCTGACCTGTAGTGTGGTGGAGTACCCTGCTAGCGCCAGGCGGCAGGCAGCGAGAATGACCTCCCTGGCCTCCAGCTCGTGGTCGAGAGAGAAGGAAGGGGTGAAGTGCACTACAATACCCTACCCCGCCAGTACACTCGTCATAAGGAAACGGGGATAACTGACCTGCAGCGTGGTGGAGTAGCCTGCTAGTGCCAGGCGGCAGGCAGCGAGAATGACCTCCCTGGCCTCCAGCTCGTGCTCGAGGGTGAAGGATGCGGTGAAGGGGAGAGACGGCTTCTCGCGCACTGCAGGCGCGGAGGGGGAGGAGGGCGATCCGGCGAATGACGTGGCTGCTGCTAGCTGGGGAGGAGCAAGCAGGTAAGGGAGAAAGGGGGAAAAGCGGTTGGGGGAAGGTAGGAATGGGAAGGAATGGGGGGATGGGAAGGACGGAGGGGGAAAATGAGGGAGGGGAAGAGGATATTAGGGAAAGAGGGAAGCGGCACTGGAATGGTGGCAAGAATGAGCAACTACTTCAGCAGGAGTGGAACGGTGGCATTGCTGCTGCTAGCTGGAATGATAGAGGGGATGTGGGGAAAGGTGGGAATAGGAACGAACTGATAGGTGGTAGCAGGTTGGCCAAAAGCGGTGGGGAAGGAAGAAATTCGTGAAAGAAGAAACGGCTGAGACGGCGAGAGTGATGATAGAAAGCGGAATTTCTCCCCCTCCCGTCAACGAGCGATGAGCATCGATAAGGATTGATGAGAGTAAATCCTCTCGCCCGTCTGTTCTGTGCTGAAATGGACGCTCCTGGAGCGGATTAAGAGTTGATGAGAGTTGTATGTACACTGTCCTAATCTGCTCCTTGGGACACAGATGGCCCTGCTGCCACCGGGCGAGCAGATGAGACGATGAGATTCAAAGAGTCAATGAGAGTCAACGAGAGTCAATGAGAGTCAATGAGAAGAGCTCACATCCGCAATTTGCTCCTCGGATATCGATGGACCAGCTGCCATGAGGTGAGCAAAGGCGAGCAGCTGGGAAGGCATGCACGAGCCGACTGGAGTCAATGAGACTCAGTTTGAGACAATAAGAGTCAATAAGGGTCACGATAGCTCACCTCCCTAATCTGCTCCTCAGACACAGATGGCCCTGCTGCCACGAGGCGAGCAAAGGCGAGTAGCTGAGAGGGCCAGCCGTCCATGCGGACCGGGAAGGAGAGCGGGCTGGCAGGTAGGGAAGGTGGGGAAAGGGGAGGGGGTAGGGAGGGGAAAGCGGGGGGAAAGAGAGATGACATTCGGCAAAAGCGAGTAGCTGAGAGGGCCAGCCGTCCATGCGGACCGGGAAGGAGAGCGGGCTGGCACATGGAATGGAGGGAAAGGGGGTAGTCAGGGGGTATACAGACAAAGGCTGAGGGGATAGAATGGGGGAGGGAAGGGAGTGGGTGTTCAGCGAATGTGAGAAGCTGCGAGGGCCAGCCGTCCACACGGACAGAGAGGGTGAAACATTTCACCTACTCTGGTGTCATACTCTAATCACTTGCTGCCACGTATTGAACCATGGCCTCTAAATGGGGTTCGATTGAATGTGAGAAGCTGCGAGGGCCAGCCGTCCACACGGACAGAGAGGGAAAGAGGGCTGGCGGGAGAGGGATGTGGGGGGAGGAGGGAGGAAGGGGTGGGGGAGGGGGGTGGAAGGCGCAAATACATGAAAGATGAGGGGATAGGAAGGAGAAAGGGAGGGGAGGAAGACGGAGGGATGGCAGTGATGCCTCTTTTATGGGTAGGAGGGGTCGTCCGGGGAGAGCGCGAGCAGCAGGTGTGGTTGCAAGCTACAAAGGTGGGGTGAAAATAAGAGGTCGTACCATGTCAGCCCATTGGCTCGCAGTGCCGCCTCCTTGACGGGCAAGAGGGGGTCGTCTGGGGAGAGCGCGAGCAGCAGGAGTGGAACATGCGCACGATGGTAACATGGTAAAGTTGAATCCATGAGGTTGAGTTCTCACCAGGTCAGCCCGTTGGCGCGCAGTGCTGCCTCCTTTACGGGCAGGAGCGGGTCGTCTGGGGAGAGCGCGAGCAGCAGCGAGACGGAGTCGCTGGGGTTGCGCGTAGCAGGCACGACACCATAGGCCAGGAGGAGCTCTCCATTGGACTTGGGACCATAGGAGACAAACACCTGGGGGGGGAACGTGGGAGGGCAGCAGCAAGGGGAAACGGAGTCGCTGGGGTTGCGTGTGGATGGCATCACACCGTCGGCCAGCAGGAGCTCTCCATTGGACTTGGGACCATAGGAGACAAACACCTGCAGAACAGAAGGGTCATGAGAGGGAGGTGAATGAGCAACAGCAGCGGCAGCGAGACAGCCACTGGGATTGCGCGTGGCGGGTACCACCCCGTAGGCCAGCAGGAGCTCTCCATTGGACTTGGGACCATAGGACACAGCACCTGTGGGAAGTAGTGAGGAGGGGCACGGGTGGAACAGAAAGAGTCGTGAGAGGAGAATGGAAGGAGCAGCAGCTCCCAATTGGACTTGGGAGCATAGGAAACAAACACCTGAGTGGGGCCAAGTGGGGGTACTGTGGGAGGGAAGGGAGGAAAGGAAAGGGGGAGGGTTTGGGAGGACACATGGAGAACAAGTCACTGGGAGTGCGCAAAGGTGTTGAGCCCACACTGTAGGTCAGCAACAGCTCCCCGTTTAACTTGTGCAGTATGAGATAAACACCTGAGGGGGGACGGACAGGTAGGGGGGGGGGGGGGGGGGGGGGGGGTGAGGGGGGAGGAAGGAAGGTGAACGGGGAAGGGGTGCGCTTACTTCCTTTGCCCTCACCTCCTCGCCCTCACTTGCCCACTAGCTAGCTTCACCGCATCCCTTGCTGTCAACCTAGGCCTCACCTCCTTGCCATCAATATGCCTCACCTTCTTGCCCTTTAAAAAGTCTCATCTTCTCGCCTCATCCCCCTGCCCTCACCTCTCAAGAGATGTTTTGAGACGTCTCAAAACACTTCTTCAATCAAAAGTCTCACCTTCTCGCCTCATCCCCCTGATTTCACCTCTCAAGAGATGTTTTGAGATGTCTCAAAACACTTCTTCAATCAAAAGTCTCACCTTCTCGCCTCATCTCCCTGCCCTCACCTCTCAAGCAAGCGGCACGCCTCACCTCCTTGCCCTGGGCGAAGGCACGATCGGTGGTGAAGACAACGTTGCCCTTCCATGTGTCCACATCGATGCATGACTCGATCTGCGATTTGGGGAGAGAGCAAGAGAGGGTTTCCAGCTTAGGCGGGTGTATAAGGCCTATTGCCTTGTCAACGCTGCCCTTCCATGTGTCCACATCGATGCATGACTCGATCTGCGATTTGGGGAGAGAGCAGGTTTCCAGCTTAGGCGGGTGTATAAAGCCTATTGCCTTGTCAACGCTGCCCTTCCATGTGTCCACATCGATGCATGACTCGATCTTCAATTTGAGGGGAGAGAGGACAGAGTAGAGGACAGCGACAGAGAGAAAGAGTCCACTTGAGAGTAACGGAGGGATCCCTGGTCCAGTTTATCTTTGGCCTCCCAAGGCAACGACAGGGGCATTATATCAGCGCCCTGGTGCGTGTACCTTGCATGTACCTTGGTGATATTAATACTACGGACCGTTCAAGAGTACGTTTGAGAGCAAGAGAGCTTAACGGGTCCTCAAAGTAAAGTGTGTGCAACCCTTGCACCTTCGCAACCCAGCACGAGGAGTAGCAGACTTATTTCCAAGCTATCATCATAAAAGCCGCATGCGGCTTGTACAGAAATTCTATCATCATACAAGCCGCATGCGGCTTGTACAGAAATTCTATCATCATACAAGCCGCATGTGGCTTGTACAGAAATTCTATCATCATACAAGCCGCATGTGAGGAGTCTATTTTTGAGGCGCCTCAAAAAAAGCCAGCACAGGGAGTAGCAGACTCATTGTCCCTGTGCTGAATCTTTTTGAGGGGATGTGGGGGTGGGATTCAGCACGAGGATGTGGGTGATCACGCGCCCACCATGCACGAGCTCGGTGCAGCGCCCACCATGCACGAGCTCGGTGCAGCGCCCACCATGCACGAGCTCGGTGCAGCCCCCACCATGCACGAGCTCGGTGCAGCCCCCACCATGCACGAGCTCGGTGCAGCCCCCACCATGCACGAGCTCGGTGCAGCCCCCACCATGCACGAGCTCGGTGCAGCCCCCACCATGCACGAGCTCGGTGCAGCCCCCACCATGCACGAGCTCGGTGCAGCCCCCACCATGCACGAGCTCGGTGCAGCCCCCACCATGCACGAGCTCGGTGCAGCGCCCACCATGCACGAGCTCGGTGCAGCCCCCACCATGCACGAGCTCGGTGCAGCCCCCACCATGCACGAGCTCGGTGCAGCCCCCACCATGCACGAGCTCGGTGCAGCCCCCACCATGCACGAGCTCGGTGCAGCCCCCACCATGCACGAGCTCGGTGCAGCCCCCACCATGCACGAGCTCGGTGCAGCCCCCACCATGCACGAGCTCGGTGCAGCCCCCACCATGCACGAGCTCGGTGCAGCCCCCACCATGCACGAGCTCGGTGCAGCCCCCACCAATCCCACCTCCATCCCACCCCCCTCCCCTTCTCCCCTCCTTCCTGGCCTCACAGCAGCAGCATGTGCCTCACAGGCCACCACCCAAGGGCCAGCCAGTTGTAGCAACCCGCTGTGGCATAGCGGGTTGCTATGCCTCCACCACCCCCTCTCCTTCACCACAACGCCCACCTGCCCCCTTCCCCCCTCACCTCGCAGCGGTGGTTCAGCATGTCTCCCCACGGCACGAGGGCCAAGCGGTTGTTGCGCGATGGCAGGCGGACCTGACAAGGGCAGGGAAGGGGAGGAGAATGGAATGGTGGGAGGGGATGGGAGCAGCGAGGAAGAGACTGAGGGAGGGCAGGGACGGGGGGATTAGAGAAGGGCGGGAGGAGGAATGAGAGAGGGAGGGGGATGAGAGAAAAAAAAGCGAAGGAGAAGCGGGGAGATAAACTCCCCTTGGAATTGGTGCGGATGGTTTAACCTTTAGAGTGGAGGAATAGAGGGAAAGAGGAGCGAAGGATAGAAGAGAAGAGGTGGAGTGGATTGTCATCTGTCTGAGATTGAAGAAAAGGAAGGATTAAATGGAGGCCAGGCGAATGGAGGCGAGTGAAGGTGCATTGCGGTGCAGGAAGGTGCATTGCGATAGGGAGGTGCATTGCGATAGGGAGGTGCATTGCGGTAGGGAGGTGCACTGCGGCGCAGGGAGGAGCACTGCGGCGCAGGGAGGAGCATTGCGGTGCAGGGAGGTGCACTGCGGTGCAGGGAGGTGCAGCTGAGCTGACCAGGCGGGAGAAGAGCACAGCAAAGGCCCACTTGAAGTTGTTGAGGGTGAAGAGCTGGAGGAAGGGAGGGATGAGGAGAGGAGTGTGAGTTGGATGAGAGTGTGAATAGCTGGGGAGGGGGAGAACAAGGAGAGGAGTTGGATGAGCATGAAGAGATGCATGGTGTGCGGGGGGTGCCAACAAAGAAAAGTGCGCAGATTGACATTTGGAGGTCTCCAGCTGAAAGTGGTAGAGGAGGAATGTGCGGATAAGGGGCATTGCAGGCGGAGTGGGAGGGGGTGTGGTGTGGGTGAGTGGGAGGGGTGGGACGGGGAGCAGGAGGTGGGGGACGAGGAGTGGGAGAAGGGGGTGGGAATGGGGGGACGAGGAGTGGGAGAAGGGGGTGGGAATGGGGGGACGAGGAGTGGGAGAAGGGGGTGGGAATGGGGGGACGAGGAGTGGGAGAAGGGGGTGAGAATGGGGGGACGAGGAGTGGGAGAAGGGGGTGGGAATGGGGGGACGAGGAGTGGGAGGCAGACGGCAGACAAAGGAAAGCGGAAATATGAGCAGCTGGCGCTTCCCTGTCCTTCACACTATTCCCCCCACACGCCCCGCACCCCGCGCACCCCCTTGCACCCCACAGCACCACCGAGTCCCTCCCCTCACCCCCCCCCACCACACTATCCCCCCCGCCCACCTTCTCTGGAAACACGTCTCTGTGCTTTGAGAAAAGCGCAGCCTCAAGCTCTGAGAACCTGCAGCACAGAGAGCGGTGGCAGAGGAGGGGGGCGGGTGAGGGAGAAGCGTGGCAGAGGAAAGGAGCGAGGTGGCAGAGGGAGAGAGAGGGGTGGCAGAGGGAGGAAGAGAGGCAGAGGGAGGAAGAGAGGCAGAGAAAGAGAGTGAAGGAAGGCAAAAGAAACGACGCTGTGTAGTTCATTCCAGAAGAGCCATTCAGAAAAGCAATAGGATACACTCTACTTCCAAACCTATTACATTCTACCCGCTGTTCCACTCTACTTCCAAACCCCCCGCTCAGTCCTTTTTTCAAATAACAAAAAAGGCTATTTAGAAAGGCTATTTAGCTCCTTCGTTTACCAGTTTGATTGAATATAGTGTATCCAAACAGATCATCAAACAACTCTCCCACTGACAGCACCATCTACATTTCATTTGCATCATCAGCAATGCGTTCGAACGTGCCTCACAACCCCAAAGAACCTCACATCTAGTCTAGCATTGTGAGGCGCGGTTACAAAGTATGTATTTTGAGAATTCTCAAAAAACATACCTCACATCTAGCATTGTGAGTGTGAGGTGCGGTTACAAACCTCCTGAACCGTCTTCAAGGTGACAGCCTTCAAGTAAAGCTCCTGTCCATCTTATGTGTTTATAACGTCAGCACTGGCCTTCTTACGTGTTTGTGACGTCAGCAATGGCTTCGATCGCGCGTTGCCTGACAGGAGACCCCTTTAGAAGCACATCCACCTCGTCAATGGACCTGAGATGCAGCAGAGAGGCAGCAGAGAGGCAGGGAGCAAGGGAGGCAGGGAGGAAGAGAGGCGACAAGAAGAGAGAGTTGAGGAATACAGAAGAACGCAGAAGCACATATACCTCGTCTGTGGAAGGCAGCAGAGGGGCGGGGAGCAGAAGAACGCAGAATGAGTGGTTCAGAGGAGGAACCAAGGGCTCGCCTTTTCGTTGATGAATTTGCGACGTGGAAAGGCTATGAACACAGGGAGATAGGTGCAGAGGAGGGAGAGGAGAACGTGCAAGCATGGGCTCCTTTCAGGGGCAAACGCACATCTACACTGTTGCTCGGGGTAGAAGAAGAGACAGGAATAATATTATGTAAAGTTGAATGGAGCTGCACTTTTGAAGTGGTATGTTTGTGCTTGCGCAGCCGTGACTGCATGCCTAAGCGTGTGTGCGTGAGTGAATGTGTCCATGAATGCGTTGCCTTGCCTGTGCACAGCAAGCCCCTCTGATGCCCCTCGTGCCTGTACTATTCGCCCCCTCTGTCCCTCTGTCCCTCTGACTATCGCCCCTCGCTCCACGCCCCTCGCTCCTCGCCCCTCGCTCCTCGCCCCTCGCTCCTCGCCCCTCGCTCCTCGCCCCTCGCTCCTCGCCCCTCGCTCCACGCCCCTCGCTCCTCGCCCCTCGCCCCTCGCTCCTCGCCCCTCGCTCCTCGCCCCTCGCTCCTCGCCCCTCGCTCCTCGCCCCTCGCCCCTCGCCCCTCGCTCCTCGCCCCTCGCTCCTCGCCCCTCGCCCCTCGCCCCTCGCTCCTCGCCCCTCACTCCTCGCCCCTCGCTCCTTGCCCCGCGGCCCACGGCCCTCTGTGAATCCTTCCAGTCGTCTCTCTGCCCCTCTCCCCCTCTCATTCAGTCACCACCCCTCTGCGGCTCTGCCCCCCCCTGTCCAGTCCGACTCACACCACACCTGCTGCAGAATGCAGGGAAGAGCGCATGGTAGAGTCTTGTTACACACACTGCACTCAGAAACTGCTCCTCTGCCTGTGCGTAATGAATCTGCCTGCAAGCCTCTCTACAGCCCAGCCCGCTTGCCCAACCCAGCAACCCGCTTCACCCCTGCTGCAGAATGCAGGGAGAAGCGCGCAACAGGGACGTGGATTGTGATATACTGACTCCACTCACGTGCTGCGCCTATGCCAGTGCCGTGCCTAGTGCTTTCTCTGACCCGTGTGCCTTATCTGCCCCTCTTTCCTTCTCTCCCCTACATTCCTCACCTTTCCCTCTCTCCTCAGCTTCCCTACTTTCCTCTCACTCCCCTAAACCCTACACCCCGCTCAACTCTCAAGGATGCAGGGCGGAGCACGAGACAGGGTCTCAACGTACCCCTCACGCCACTCACACGCAACCCTCTGTCAGCCCCTGTTTCCTCAACTCACCCACCCGCTCTCTCCTCATCCTCCCTCTCCCTCCCCCAGCTCACCACTGGAGGATGGGAGGAGCCCGACGCAGGGTTTCGACGTACCCACTCCTCTCGTACCTACTTCTTTCTCTCTGCACCACTCTCTGCTCCTTGATCATTTCACCACTGGAGGATGTGAGGCGCATCACGAAGCAGGGTCTCAATGTGACCATTCGACTCGTACCCGTTGCTCTCCTCTACCTATTGCTTCGTTCTCTGCCCCTTTTTCCTTCTCGACTCCTCTCCTTCCTCTTCCCTAAATCTTAAAGCCCGCTCACCACTGGAGGATGCAAGGCGGGGCGCGAGGCAGGGTCTCAATGTACCCACTCCACTCAGATGCCGCCCCTCTGCCGGCCTCGCTCAGCAAGTAGACAGCCAATGCCGGCCAGTCCGGCACGTTGGCCGCCTTGAGTAGTGCGCCCACGCGGGGACAGCTGTACACCTGCGAATGGTGCGGGGAAATGGGGACGCGGGGCGGGGGAGGATGAGGGAGGCAGGGGGAAAAGGGGGGTGGGGGGGGGGGGAGGAGAGGGAGGAGGGAGGAGGACGACGGGAGGGGAGTGAGTTGGGGGCAAGGAAGAACAAAGGGTGGTGGGGAGGCAAGGGAAGAAGCGCGGTAGTCAGGTGTTGGGAATTTATCTGAACTGACACTGTGGATTCCATGTTGTGGATGAAAACAAACCAATCAATCACTCATAAAGAATGCCGAGCACCCTTGGTTGTTGTGCTCACCAAATTCAGGGAATCACCACTCCCCAGGGTGGTTATAGGCACCCTATGGTCTCTCTCCCGTTACAGGTTACAACACCCTACCATTCCGTCCCATTCACTCACCGTCGCCTCGCTACAATCAACTCACTGTTTCTCCCGTTAAAAGCATTACTCAGCGCACCATTTCCCCGTTATAAGGATTACTCAACGCACCGTTTCTCCCGTTATAAGCAGCTTCTCGGGAATGTTTAAGATGCCTTCCCCCTTGCTGATATTTTCCGTCGCCACAAGCCCGCGCCCGCCCTCGCGCACCAGCCGCAGCGCCATCTTCTGCTGCGGCAGCCCCTTCGCGCGCAACCACGCCTCCCACCGAACACCTCCTTATGATCACCCACCCTCTGCATAAACTCACCAAATCTCCCGTTTTTTTCTACTACTGAGTTCACCGTTTCTCTCGCTATAAGAATTACTCAACGCACCGTTTCTCCCGTAATAAGCAGCTTCTCGGGAATGTTCAAGATGCCCTCCCCCTTTCCGATGTTTTCCGTCGCCACGAGCCCGCGCCCGCCCTCCCGCACGAGCCGCAGCGCCATCTTCTGCTGCGGAAGCCCCTTCGCTCGCAGCCATTGCTCCAGCGAGTCGAGATCGCGGGCGGACCGCCCGTCCCACCCCCACGTCGCCACCGCCTTCTCCTCGCGCTTTAATTTCTTCGGCGGCGCGCGGCGCTTCTTCTTAGGCGCTTCGTCTACTACTGGCTCTGCTTCGGTCCCTGCCGCTGTCGCAACCGCCGCCGCAGCATCCGCCGGAGCCTCCGCGACTGCAGTGGTGGCGGCGGCGGCGGCTGATGCTGCTGAGGCGGAATCGCCAGCTGCTGACTCGGACGATACGTCGGCGTCAGCGGAAGCAGCGCGGACTGTTACGCGCCCTCGGCAGGAAGCGGCGGGGAAGGTAGAGCGCAAGGGGGAGCCGGCAATTGCGCGGAGAGAGGAATCCGCGGGAATAGCGCGGAGTTGTTGGGCGGAAGAACTCGTTGAGAGCGGTGCAGGCAACGATCCGGCAGCAATGCGGACGGCAGCGGGCGTTTGCGCCAGGAGGGAAAGCGAGGCGGCCATTGGACCGCGATCGTTCAGTGAGCGACACGTGCACGGACGGTTTGTGGGGGTAACAATTTCTGTAGACCGTAAACCGGATCGAGCGACCGTCGTTTCAAAAAAGTAGCAAGGATACAGAACTAGAGCTTGCAAAGCGAGGGAGCGGCGAATTCGTCCGACGAACACAAGGATCCAGGAGAGTTCAGCTCGTTCTGGATTCTGAGAGCCGTGCGTTGCAGCAAATGCTTGTGTGCAGCAAAAAGAAAGGCTGGCAGAGTTGTCAGTCAATACCCACCCTCGGAATTTTGCAAACCCCAAGCCGATGCAAGTTCCACGTTTTTAACGGTTTGTTATGGTGCCCCTTGGTCAGGTACGGTAATGCAAGATTGGGTGCTGTCTCACTGTTTTGAAACGCACCAAAATGCATCAGAATGGATCGATCAGGTTGGTTCATTTCAGGAACCCAATTCCGGTGGGCAGGGGAATCGATGTGGAAGCACTGTCCACGTGGAAGCGTGCCAATGGCTTCCTTGATCGCCTCTTGTACAACTCCCGTGGCGCAAATGTGTTTCCCCAAGGGCCTTGACGATCGTTGATAAAAATGATTGAAGAAACACTCGAATAGCACGCTACTTCATTTCTAATATCGATGAGTAAGGCCCATAATCCAGCATACAAATGCAAGATTGATTTATGAAACTGGTTACACCATATATGAGAGTGATTATTGCCTATTACGTTCGCTTCATGCATTTTTTGTATACGGAATTTTATTGACTCGATTGAATTTCCAGTTTTTTCTCATTTTTTTTCTGTTAGTGTACAGAGAAGGGAAACCTGCGAGTACATGAGGATGCTCTGGCAAGGCAGCCATCCTCACAGATCCGGTCACAAACACCCTCACCAAGACCTCCTGGCACACCAGAACCAGGGGTGTAAGTATGGTAAGCTTGAGGCACAGGGAGACTGCTGCGCCGTGTGAGACGTTTCACACCGGTCATGCGAGAATCACGAGGCCCAGGTAGACTGCTGCGCCGGCTAGAAACAGCGATATGACACCCCTGCAGGACATATGCACGAGGAGGGAAAGAGAAAGAAAGGAATGCAAGTGGTTACGAAAGGAGCTGGACTACAAAAAAATAGCATATCTATAGGTGGCTCACTCAAATTCACTTCGGATTGCAAGTACTTACCAAACAAATAACACATCGCGTGACCTCCTTCCACGCAACTCTCAGCTATCCCTCCTTATCACGTGAGATACTATCCCCACAGTATCACAATGTTTCAAGCGCTTACAAAACCAGCTCTTGCTAGTCTCTCCTTGCCACCTGGAATAATATTTCCACAGTATCACACCCATGTCACACTACTACACTTGTGCTCATCATCTCACCCCTCACATGCCCCTCACACCTCATCTCTCCCCTCCCCCCACACACCCTCAGCAACTCCCTTCTCAGGAGGCGCCCATGAAAGGCCATAGGTGGCACAGATGCCAGCACTCACACCCACCACACAAGCACAAGTGCATCACTTGAAATGGCCCGGATCTGAGTCGACTCAAAAGCCCCCCCCCCCCCACCCACACACACACCCTCACCAACTCATTCCTCAGGAGGAGTCCATAAAAGGCCATAGGTGGCACAGACGCCAGCACCCACACCTACCACACAAGCACGAGTGCATCTCATGATATGGCCTGGTGCTCACCAGATGACTCCCCAGCACAGCACACCCCATTCAAGTAACTTGTGAGCTGAGTAGAGAGATTACCTTCAAGGTGCCTCAAAATGCTCCTTGGCACTGACCTGGCAGGCAGATGACAGGCTGTTGAAACGGCTACTTTCGAGGCGGCTCAGGAATAACCTTTGAGGAGGCAAAAAGGCACCTGAAGAAATGGCATGCTGCTCACCAGATGACCCTCAGCACATGCTGTTGATGCGACTGCTTTTAAGACGCCTAAGTAATGACCTGGAGCTCACCAGATGCTGTCCTAGCATACGCTGTTGAAGAGGCAGGGGCACGTCTTGGCAAACCCCTTGGCATCACTCCTACTACCGACACAGCCATCAACCCTTGATACTTGCAAGACCTGGCGCTCACCCGATAACTCCCCAGCGCACGCAATAAAAGAGACTTTTTGCGTGCAGTGCAGTGCAGTGCACTCAGACTTATGACTTTTGCAGCACAAGCGCATCAGACCACTCAGTATGACATGGCCAGGCGTGCCACAGTCGCCGGCACTCATCACTCGCAACGAACTGGCGCTCACCAGATGACCCCCCAGCACACACCGCTGAAGGGGCAGGGGCACGTCTTGGCACACACCTTGACAAACACCTTGGCATCACCCTACCGCACAAGCGCACGACTCGATATGACCTAGCACGGTGTGGCGCGACCATCAGCACTCATCACTCAAAACGAACTGGCGCTCACCAGATGATCCGCCAGCACACGCCATTGACAGGACACGGGCACATCTTGGCAACACCTTGACATCATCGCCCTACCGCACAAGCACACCACTCAGTATGACCTGGCATGGCGTGCCACAGTCGTCAGCACTCCCACGCCATGCACATGCCAGTGCATGGGGTGCCACAGTCATCAGCACTCATCACTCGCAACCAACTGGCGCTCACCAGATGACCCCCCAGCACACTCCGTTAAAGGGGCACGGGCACGTCTTGGCAAAGACCTCGGCATCGCTGGAGTTGACTCTCCGGGAGATGAGATCATCATAGATGTCTGGTGTATATTGAGGTGTGGGGGGGAGAGAAGAGGCGGGAGGGGGGGGTGGCGGGTAAAAAAGGGCATGGGCAAACAAGAGAAGGGGCAGGGAATGGACAGCTCAGCGTCACTGGAGTTGAATCGCCGTGAGATGAGATCGTCGTAGATGTCTGATGCATGGGGGGGCGAAGGGGAGCAGGTGAAAGGGGGTTGAGACAAGGGAAACTGCAGGGAGCGGGCCAGTGGGCAGGGGCAAGGGAAGGGCCGTGCGTGGAAGGCAGAGGCACGTCTTGGCAAAGACCTCGGCATCGCTGGAGTTGACTCTCCGGGAGATGAGATCGTCGTATGCGGCTGATGCATTGGGGAGGGCAAGAGGGAGAAGGTAGTGGAGAGTGGGGCAAGGTGGGGAAGGGGTAACAAATTTAGCATCAGTGGAGTTGACTCTCCGCGAGATGAGATCAGCGTATATGTCTGATGCATGGGGGGACAGGGGTAAAAGCGGGGGGGGGGGGGAGGGGGCAGGGGAATTGACACTTCGGCATCGCTGGAGTTGACTCTCCGGGAGATGAGATCGTCATGGATGTCTGATGCATGGGGGGGAGCGGGGGGGTTAACTAATGGGCATAGGTAAACAGGGGAAGGGACAGGGGAATGGACACCTCGGCATCACTGGAGTTGACTCGCCGTGAGATGAGATCATCATAATGTCTGATGCTTGGGGGGGTGAGGGGGGAGAGGTGGGGGGTGTGGGTTGGAATAAGGAGAGGAGTGAGAGAGGAGAAGGGGGCGAGGGGGAGGGGGGAGGACGGAGCGAGGGGGATTGGAACGGGCATAGGTAGACAGGGAACGGGGCAGGGGAATGGACAAAACTGGGCATCGCCGGGTGATGATATCATCGTAGATCTCTGATGCATGGGGGTGCAATGAGGGGAGGTGGGTGGTGGGAGGTAAAACACGAGGGAATGCGGTGAAGGGGGTTTTGAGACGTCTCACAACACTTCTTTTATCAAGGGGAAGGGGAGGGGGTGTTGCTTGAACGGGGGAAGGGGAAGCATAGGGGGTGTTGTTTGAACGGGGGTTTTGAGCGGCCTTAGACAGAGACCGGAGGGAAGAAACAGGGAAATGGGTGGAGGAAAGGACAGGAGGAGGAACTATAAGACGCACCAGGGATTATCTTAGGAATTGAGTCAACTTAAAAGGTTTGATGCTGAATGGGGCTTGGGAGGAAAGTGCAGAGGGCTCGGATGAAAATCAGGGGATGGAGGAGAGACTGGTCATTGGCAAGAAAACTATGTGCAGACGTTTGGGCTGAAATGACGTACCATAAATAGAAAAGAGGCAGTTCATGATGCCTGCGCAGCGAAGCAACGAACAAGGGAGTGTCGCGCAGGAGGAGGGGGGTTTGGGTAAATATAGCCATCAGTAAAACTGAATATCACAAATAAGATGAGAAATTTGAGAGAGCGACAGGCATCACGATGCATATTGGAGAAAGAAGAGCATGGAGAGGGAAAGAGAGAGCAGTTAGCAGCCTGTATTGTGTAGAAGAAGGGTGTACCGATAAATAGGATGGCGAGGTTGAGGGGGTGAACCGATTGGGTAATGCCATATTCGAGGAAGAAGAAGAGGCCAAAGAGGAGCAGGAATCCCACACACAGGAAGCGTAGCGTGTTCTGTGGGACAAATGGAGTGGAGAGAGGGCGTTTCGTATGAGTTGACTCAAGAGTCCCCTCGCGAGGAAAGGTGGTAACAACGAGAGTCATTTTTGCGTTCTGTGCTCCTCTGGTTGACGGCAGCAGGGGGGGCGATGCTGCTTGCCTTGCACAGCACGGCCTGCAGTCTTGGCCAGTCAAAGGGTGGTGCAGATAAGGAGGGTCAGGAAGAGTTAGCTGCCAGCAAGCGACTTTTGAGGCGCTTCAAAAGGCGATGCTGCTTGCACAGCACGGCTTGCAGTCTTGGCCAGTTAAAGGGTGGTGTGGAAAAGAGTGATGCAACGCAGAGAAGGAGGGTGAGCAAGAGTTTGCTGCCAGTGATGCAAGCGCAATCTACAAACACATAAGAAGCAGACCATTGGTGCTTCTTACGCACTTCTGAGAAAGCGGGTGACGAAAAGAGTGATGCACGGCACGGAATGCACGGCCTTGTAAGTGCAGAACAGTTGTGTCAGTGTGGTATGGTATGGGTATTGAGCTGAAAGCTGCATGCTACTCTCATGTTCCGGCGAGGAAGAGGGTGACGCAGAGGAGATGCGCGGCGACATCCATCCAGAGAAGTGCAGAACTGTTTTGCAGCTCACGCTCTTAGCGAGGAACTTAGATGGAATTGACACTAGGAAGGCTCACGTTCTTGGCGAGAAAAAGGGTGATGCAGAGGGTGATGAAGAGGGTGATGAAGAGGGTGATGAAGAGGGTGATGAAGAGGGTGATGAAGAGGGTGATGAAGAGGGTGATGAAGAGGGTGATGAAGAGGGTGATGCAGAGGACGGGAGCAGCGATGACAAGGGTGATGAAGAGCAAACGAGACCTTCAAGTATGTGCGCAGAAGTTTCTCTGCTCACGTACTTGGCGAGGAAGAGAGTGATGAAGAGAGTGATGCAGAGAGTGATGAAGAGAGTGATGCAGAGGAGGACAGCGATGACGAGGGTGGTGAAGTGAAGAGCAAACAAGACCTTCAAAGACGTGCAAGAAAACGTTCAAAGACGTGCAGTTTTGCTTCTCACGTTCTTGGCGAGGAAGAGTGTGACGAAGAGAGTGATGCAGAGGATGACAGCGATGACGAGGGTGACGGGGAGCAAACGAGACCTTTAAAAAAGTGCACACACACAAGTTTCTCTACGTTCACACAAGGATCTCTGCTCACGTTCTTTGCGAGGAAGAGCGTGATGAAGAGGGTGATGCAGAGGATGACAGCAATGACAGGAGTGGTGGAGACCCTCAAATACGTGCACACACACAAGTTTTGCTGCTCACATTCTTGGCGAGAAAGAGGGTGATGAAGAGAGTGATGCAGAGGATGACAGCGATGACGAGCGTGGTCCACTTGTTGGTCGCGCACAGCACGAGCACCATGCCCCAGAAGGATGAGCCTAGGTCTGTTTGGTTGGTGTGAGGTGAAGCAGGCATGTTTGGGGCACAGAGTTTGAAGTTTAAGGTTGATTGGCGCACAGCACGAGCACCATGCCCCAGAAGGATGAGCCTAGGTCTGATTGGTTGGTGTGAGGTGAAGCAGGCATGTTTGGGGCACAGAGTTTGAAGTTTAAGGTTGATTGGCGCACAGCACGAGCACCATGCCCCAGAAGGATGAGCCTAGGTCTGATTGGGGTGGGTGGAGTGAAGTGAAGGCACCGCAAGCAATGCAGACACATGCGGAGTGAAGAGAGGCAGAGAGTGGTCCACTTGTTGGTCGCGCATAGCACCAGCACCATGCCCCAGAAGGACGAGCCTAGGTCTGGTAGAGTACGGGGTGGGGAGAGGTGATGCATGCACGTGTATGTATTGACTGGCGCACAGCACCAGCAGCACCATGCCCCAGAAGGACGACCCCAGACCAGGCTCAAATCTGCTTTAGTTTGGGTGGGGTGAAGTGAAGCATGCATGGGTAAGACAGTGTGTGTGCACCCAATTGTTGCACAGCACGAGCTCCATAACCCAGAATGACAACCCCATGTCTGGTTTATTTAGGGTTTCAGGTTTAAGGTTTGGAGTTTGGGGTTTGCGGTTCAGGGTAAGGTTTTGGCAAGTGTGTGGATGGAAACGTTGCAGGGTATTTTTGAGTTTTTTTTGCAGGAATTAAAAAAATCCCCGCAGGGTAAGGTTTTGGCAAGTGTGTGGAAATGCATGTGTGCGACAACAAGCGCTGATTGGACAGATTGGGTGGTGCATGGTAAATGCGTGGAGAAAACGAAAGGAGGGAGGGATCATGCGGCGTGGTTGTCAAAAGCACAGGGGACAAACGGCAAGCACGCAGGCAGCACAAGAAATTGCAACAGGCAAGAAAGGCTTGATGAGTTATGCTAGCTTGATAGTCTGGGATCCACATAGGAAAGGCCTGATCATTTGTTAGTTAATCGATTGTTAGGAAAATAGACTCCTGATACGTGACCTGTGTGACTCACATCCCGCAGGCAGAATGCACCACTGCCATCCGCCCCGAGTGCGAGTGACCCCCCCCTCGTCCATGTGCACCTCGATGCCCTCCACCTGCACCGCAGGGCAATCGCACATACAGTGTTATTCGTTTTGCATTATAACGCATTTGCCTCACGAGGGGCTCGTCCATGTGCACCTCAAAGCCCTCCACCTGCCACAGGGCGTAAGCACACACACAGGATGATATACTAGTGCGATTCGTTATGCATTATAACGAAAGGCTTCATTCATGTGCACCTCAATGCCCTCCACCTGCCACAGGGCGTTCAGACACAGCATGATACAGTGTGACTCGTTATGCATTATAACGAATCTGCCCTAAAGGCCTCGTCCATGTGCGCCTCTACGCCCTCCACCTGCACCATTGGGCGTTTGGACACATCATAGTACAGTATGATTCGTTATGCAGTACTTAGTACTATGCCCCTGAAGCTATGTCTGTGTGCACCTTAATTCCCTCCACCTGCCATTGGGCGTTCGCACACCGCATGTTACAGCGTAGTTTGTTATGTATTATTACGGATTTGCCTCTGACGCCGCGCCCATGTGCGCATCTATGCCCTTCACCTGCCATACGGCGTTTGCAGACATCATGATACAGCATGACTCTTATTTGCATCTTTTGAGTCGACCCAAGCATCTGCCTGTAAGGCCTTGCTCTTGAACACAGCAGTGCCCTCCACCCGTGTGACATCGAGTTGACTCAGTATGATCCGTTGTTGCCCTCTATACAGGTAAGGCACTGCCTCTTGATACATGAACGTTGGTGTACCACAGCATACCACATCATACCACATCGTACCACCGCATACCACAGCATACCACAGCATCACATCATACCACATCATACCACAGCATACCACAGCATCACGTCATACCACATCATACCACAGCATACCACTGCATCTGTACCCCATCTTCAGAGTCCACTTAACGGCAGCCGGACACCCTACACGTTAACCCGACTCACCTTGGGATCTTCACCCGACTCACCTTAGGAATGTGCAACCGACTCACCTTGGGACATTCACCCGACTCACCTTGGGGATCGACACCCGGCTCACCTTGAGATCGACACCCGGCTCACCTTTAGATCGACACCCGGCTCACCTTGGGAATGTTCACCTGGCTCAAGGCATGCATTCACAGACCGTAATACCTTCCGTCAACATGCATGGCCCATATCGTGGGCTTGCACTTAGATCAGTGTACATATATTTCTGGACTTGAAACAGTAAATTGAGTTAACATGTCTGGAGCCTCCGCACACACCTTCCCTCCCGTCACGACAAACCCTCCCCCTTGAATGAACGCTCCCTCCTGCCCGACATGACGCATGAGGTGGCATGGTCGATCTCATGCATACTACTCAGCTCACAGTACTGCTCTCTGGACCTGAAACACACACGCACCTTCCCGCCCCTCATCACGCACCTTCCCGCCCCTCATCACGCACCTTCCCGCCCCTCATCACGCACCTTGCCTCCCGTCATGACGCACGCCGAGGCATGGCCTATCTCGTGTAGGTACACGGAGATGAGCTTGAAGGGCATGAGCACGATGGTGCGCCATAGCTGGTGGTGAGATAGAGGGCAGGCAGAGAGGGTGGAGAGAAGGAAGAGAGGAGCGGCCAGTCAGTGCACGAGGGAGGAGAGTCTCATCTCATGCAAATACACGGAAATGAGCTTGAAGGGCATGAGCACGATGGTGCGCCATAGCTGGTGGGGAGACAGAGGGCAGGCAGCAGGAGGGTTGGGTTTGGTAGAGGGGCAGGCCGGAGGGTGGGAAGCAGGGAGGAATGAGCGGCCAATCAGTGCAAGAGTGTGACAGTGCATGAGATAGGGTAGCATAGAGTGTCCCATCCTACAGAGGTACACGGAGATAAGCTTGAAGGGCATGAGCAAGACGGTGCGCCATAGCTGGTGGAGATATAGGGGGCAGGCAGGGAGGATGGGGAGCAGGGAGGGATGTGGGGCCAGTCAGTGCACGTGTCAGTCATGGCACGAGTGACCAAGGAGTCGCGCAGCTGCTTGTTATGTGGCGTGTCGACTGTCCTTACAGCGAGATCGCGTTGGTACATGCTGTATTGCATTGCTTAGAGCAGCCTCACAAAACAGGCGTGCTTACAACGAGGATGATGAGCGCGTAGACACCGGAGCAGGAGAGGAAGAGGGTCTGCTGAGTGTTACAGCAACCAGAGAGCGCCCAATTCGCCATTCCGATGACTAGTTACGATCAATCGGACTGATTGAATGAATCCTTGATGACACGTCAATGTCGGATAACTTAAAATCCTAAGCCGCTTAACGCTCGGCGCTAAACGCTCGACGCAATGCGATCCCCGACGATCGAGCGTCGACGCGAATAGCGTTATTTGAGCTAGCGCCGTTTGGTTGCGTTTGCCGATAACTATTCGGGCCAACACGATCTCTACTGACTTGATTGGGTACGATGCTTATCTATGAAGCAGGACGGCTACGACCACAGCATGTGATGCACAAACGTAATAGCGATGTGTTCAGACGAAGGAGGCTGGGATAGTGGAAACGCGAATGGGTGTGGTAATGCTACCAGCGGATTCTCGCGAAAAACGAGTTCCTGAAAACTACGCCAGTTTCAATGCTGAAAGGCGAAATCGATGACTCCCGTACATCTGTGAAATGGAAGGGAAGTCAGGGTGAGATCTCGAGGTTGGTTCAGATCTTGCTATCACCGACCCGTTCATTCATTCAATTTTACAAGTCGATCTACTTGGACCGATTAGAACCGTAGTGAAACACACGCCGATGAAACCTAGTGATGTGCATCTGCATACAGTAATTCAAAGAGTTCTGCTGACTAGCGCTGGCCATTATTGGTGTACAGATGTCTTTCTAATAGTGGTTCCTGGAAGCGGGGTTGTGAGCAATCCCCGCCAACGACCAATCGTACGCCTGGCTCAAATGCGTCGACCATTCGATCAATGTACAATAGAAGGGAAAATATGTCAATGGTAACTTACATGGGGAACTATAACGCGTACGGTAACGATTTCAATGCGTTTGGTACCGTAACTCGCTTAACGCGTTTGGTAACTCGCTTAACACGTTTGGTAACTCGCTTAACGCGTATGGTAACTATACACTAGCAGCCCATCACGCGAATGGTAACTACATCAACTCCCGCCAAAATGATCATGAAATTGAGGAATTTATCGAGTTTAAAAGTTTTTACGCACAGTTTTATCTTTCTTGAACAAGTCCCGCCGCGACTTTGAAGGACCCTGTTTACTCTAATGTCAGAGGTCCACTGGTGATCCCTGATCGATCCTAGAGAGGGTTACATGCATGTTGGCCTGGGGGGTTATGGGCGCACTGACCCGCTACTTAACAAGCCTTTTTATCCCAATGGTCTAGTGGTTGGGATTCTGACATGGTATCAGAGCGAAGGTCTCGGGTTCGAATCCCAGTGTCTGCACTTCGGGCATCCCAGTGCGGGAGGGTGTCAGAGGTCCACTGGTGATCCCCGATCGATACTAGGGAGGGTTACACGCATGTTGGCCTAGGGGGTTATGGGCGCACTGACCCGCTACTTAACCAGCCCTTTTATCCCAATGGTCTAGTGGTTGGGATTCTGACATCTAATACCACGGACCAAGAAGTTTCAAAGTTTATATAAACATGGCTCGTACAAAAACGGTTCAAATCATATTTTTGATAGCATGATTGCAAACTTGCAAAATTATTAAAAAAAAAATCCGCAAAAGGGCCTCGGGCTTTTAAGTTTTGTAATTACTGCAACGTTGACCATTTTTTTCATGTGGGAAAGATACACCTCTTTAGAATTACATGTTTCATAAAAAAAAAACCATATACGCATTGTCGCAATGAGTTAAGGGTTGATGCTCCCAAATTCATTTGCCATCTGAAAGGGGTATAGATTTGTTTGCCTCGGCTGCACGATAGAATTAAGTACAAACAGTTTGCAGAAAGAGCGCCAGAATATCAGTTGTATATGAAACTTTGTTTTTACAACACTTACGTTTTTGCAATTAGCTTGAAAGTTGGAAAGTGTGTCAGGATTTCGGGAAGTGTGTCAGAATTTCCGAAAACTGTGTCAGAATCTCAGAGAGTGTGTCAGAGGTTTCTGCTTCAAGATTCGTCAATTTAGTCTGACGCGAGCGGGAAAAACCAGAATCAGGGTCATTTTGGGCGAGGGTTTCTTCAAGTTGAGAAGATTTGAACAAGAATGAATGAACTATGAATGAAGTGAGTACATATAGGAAACCCTAATTGGGTTGTACCCCCTATGGGATACCCCACTATAGCCTACACAACAGCATAAGCTATATATATGTTCTGACACACCCCCATAGGCAAAGTGGGGGAGAACAAGGGGTCACAAGACCAGTCACGCAAAGCACAACAAGCTCAGGGTGGATCACAAAGTCACCACACAGTCCGAGCACAACGACAAGGCCACAAGGCCAGTTCACATGCAGGAGTGCACATATATATATATAGAGCTAGACAAGCAAGAGCAGGTATATATATGTGACAGTACAAGCAAGGTCAAGAGGAGAGCAAGTGAGGCAAGACAGGTACAAGACCCAGCTGAGTGCAGAAGCGCTGATGGTCACAAGGCGCAAGTGCCTTGGTGAACACAACAGCAGTGTTGGCCTCAGAGGCCACGTACGCAAGTCGCAACTGACCACGCTGCTGCAGCTCACGAGCAAGAAAGTAATGGAGAGCAATGTGCTTCGTTCTGTGCTCCAAGCGCTGCTCTCGACACAAGGCCAGCGTGGCCTTGTTGTCTACGTACAGCACTGGAGGAGAACGAGGCGGCTCTCCAAGGTCAGTCAGCAGGTAGGTGAGCCAGCGAAGCTCCTGTGTAGCCATGGCCCCGGCGTAGATCTCAGCCTCACAACTGGAGCCGAGAACAGAGGACGAGCGAGTAGCCCGCCACGAGACAGAGCCGGAACCAAGACTGAAGGTGTAACCCTGCGACGACCGCTGCGTAGCCTGGTCGTCAGCCCAAGAAGCGTCCGCGTGCCCAGTGAGGACCACTGGACTCCGCCCTCCAAGCACTAGCCCCATGCCCGACGTACTGCACAAGTAGCGCAACACCCTCTTCGCTGCAGCCATGTGCTCTGGTCGGTGTCTCCCAGGAGCAACATAGCGTGCAAGAATGCTAAGAGGGTATGCAAGGTCAGGTCGTGTGCAGGTCATCAGGTACATGAGGCAGCCAACAAGCTCTGGGTACGGGCCACTCGACTCTACGGACTCATCCGAAGGCAGAGCTGAGAGCGAGTGGCGAGTAGACAGAGGAGTGGCCTGAGGCGAGGAGTACGTGAAGCCGAAGCGCTGAAGGACCTGCTGCACCATGTGTGACTGAGTCAAGGTAATGGTGCGGCGTGCTCTGTCCCGAGTGATCTGCAAGCCAAGGTAGCTGCGCAGTTCACCCAGGTCTGTGCACGTGTGTCTCTTCTGCAGCTCGGACTTCACGTAGGCTAGTTCAGCAGTGTCAGCTGTGGCAAAGACCAAGTCGTCGACGTACACGAGGATGTAGAACGGCGGCAAAGAAATGTCGGTGCGCAGAAACAACGACGGGTCAGCCGTAGAGGGAGCAAACCCAAGAGCCGCAAGCGTAGTCCTCAGTGTGTCGTGCCAATCACGCGGTGCCTGGCGGAGACCGTAGACTGGCCGTCGGAGGCTCCACTGGGTGCCAGTAGGGAAAGTCCCAGTGAAGCCAGGTGGACGGCGCAGCCAGATCTCCTCGTGCAGGCTACCCTGCAAGAAAGCAGTGCTGAAGTCAAGAGAGTGGAGCTCGTAGTCGCGCTGAGCGGCTATGTGCAGCAGCACCCGAAGAGTGGTCATCTTCGGGGTGGGAGAGAAGGTCTGAAAGTAGTCAACTCCCTGCCGCTGACTGAAGCCACGAGCGACGTACCGCGCCTTGAAGACAGGTGGAGAGCCCGGCGGCCGCTTCACCCTGAAGATCCACATGCCACTGACGATGTTCGCCCCAGGAGGGGGAACCGCGTCAACGTAGGTGCCTGTGGACTTCCAGGACGCCATCTCTGCATCCATAGCTGCCTGCCACTGAGAGGAGTAGGGACCCTCTACGGCCTCCGCGTAAGAGCGCGGAGTCGGGATGTCTAGTGCATCCGGGTCTCCCTCAGGGGCAAGTAGTACGGACGCGAGATGAGGTGAAGCAGCAGCCAAACACTGGAACTCCTCCTGCCTGTCCTCAAGGACGTCCGTGCCAAGAGCACACTCACCCCCGACGGACGGAGGACAGACAGACGCAGACTCAGCAACAAGACCAGCAGCGTAGTCTAGACGACAGCTAGCAGCAAAGTCGACGAGCTCAGCAACAAGAGCAGACGCAGCAGTGGACTCAAAAGAGGGGTCAGTGACGACAGTAGCAAGGAGACGTGTGACAGTAGGACTAGCAGCACGAAGAGAGTCGGACTCTGGGTCGGTAAGTGCAGGAAGGGAGGACTCAGGAGGAGAAGGCAAAGGGGCACGCAGAGGAGCAGTGGACGGACGCAAAGACATCCGGTGCGTGCCAGGGACAGGAGGAGGACGCTGACGCGAACCGCGACCACTAGCGCGAGCAGCACGAACAGGCGACGCAGGACGAGACGCAGGCTCACGACGCTCAGCAAGACCTCCAGTGGGACCAGTGTAAGGAGAGGGAGCAGGAAGTGGGGAGGCGGGCTCTAACTGGGACTGTGACTGAACAGGCTGTGGACACGCTGCAGGAGGAGAAAGACCAAGAACCTGCTGTAGGAGTGGAACGAGGTACGGCCGAGGCCGCGCGGCGACTCTAGATACAGCAGGGACAGCACCCTCAGCAGCAGCACCAGCGCCAACAGCACCTCCAGCTCCAGTACCTCCAGCAGCACCAGCAGCACCCGCAGCAGGACCACCGCCAGGAAGGACAGCAGCAGTCTCAGCACCAACACCCGCGGCAGCTCCAGCTCCAGGCGGACCCGAGGGCCCAGCAGCTCCGGGACCAGCGGCACAAGTACCCTCAGCAGTCGACGGAGCTCCAGCTCCAGCAGTACGTCTCCAGCGGCGAGCAAACCACTCGCGCAGCTCCTGTGGAGAGAGGGGCTCCCGCCGAGGCGAAGCACCCGGAGAACCGCCAGGTCCCGCACCGCCAGACGCAACAAGGGGAGGTCCAGTGGCCGCAGGCTCCGCAGCTCCAGGCTCAGTAGCTCCAGACGCAGCACC